CCAAGTAGGAATAGGCATCCTCTGAGATGCACCCCCGGGACGCTGGTGCTCACACTTGACCTGTTGGCAAGTCAAACACCTAGAAACAAAGTCTGAAATATCTCTCTTCATCCCACACCACCAGTAATGTTGACTCAGATCATGATACATCTTCGCAGCTCCCGGATGAATAGAATATCGGGAACAATGGGCCTCTTCAAGAATCAGTCTAGTCAACTCTCCCGTCTTGGGCACATAAATCCTGCCTCCGATCCTCAAGACACCGTTAGAATCAAGGACAGCCTCCTTGGCTTCCCCTCTCAATACTCTATCTCGAATGAGACATAACTTCTCATCATCAAACTGGTGCACACGGATCTGCTCGACTAAAGAAGACTGAGCCTCAATAAAAGCAATCATCCCATCACTCTCCTCTGAGATCTGCAACCGGACAAGACTATTAGCTAACCTCTGAACATCTCTAGCCAATGGTCTCTCCTCAATGCTAAGTGCTGCAAGACTTCCCATGCTAGGAGCCTTCCTACTCAAAGCATCGGCAACAACATTGGCCTTCCCCGGATGATATAGAATGGTCACATCATAGTCCTTCAACAACTCAAGCCACCTACGCTGCCTCAAGTTTAGATCCCTCTGACTAAAGATATACTGAAGACTCCGATGATCAGTGAAGATCTCACAATGCACCCCATACAAATAATGATGCCATAACTTAAGTACAAATACTACAGCCGCCAACTCCAAATCATGAGTAGGGTAGTTCTTCTCATGGGACTTCAATTGCCTAGAAGCATAAGCAATCACTTTCCCCTTCTGCATCAATACACCACCCAATCCGACTCCTGAAGCATCACAATACACAGTAAAGTCTACACCCTCCTCAGGTAGAGTCAACACAGGAGCCGAAGTCAACAAAGTCTTGAGCTTTTGAAAACTCTCCTCACACTCATCAGACCACTGAAAACCCACACCCTGTCGAGTCAATCTAGTCAATGGAGCTGCAATAGTAGAGAAACTCTGAACAAATCGTCGGTAATAACCTGGCAATCCCACAAAACTCCTAATCTCGGTAGGAGAGGTAGGTCGCGTCCAGCCTCTAACTGCCTCAATCTTGGCCGGATCTACTCTAATACCCTCCTTGGACACCACGTGTCCCAAGAATGCCACAGAATTAAGCCAGAACTCACACTTTGAGAACTTGGCATACAACCTCTCTTCCCTCCATCTCTGAAGTACAATTCTCAAGTGTCGGACATGGTCATCCTCAGTCCTGGAGTAAACCAAAATGTCATCGATGAAAACAATCACAAAAGAATCAATGTATGGTCGAAACACCCCGTTCATCAACTCCATAAAAGCTGCAGGGGCATTAGTTAACCCAAAGGACATCACTAAGAACTCATAATGCCCATACCGAGTCCGAAAAGCTGTCTTAGGGATATCTGATGCCCTAATCTTCAACTGATGATACCCAGACCTCAAATCAATCTTAGAAAACAACGATGCCCCCTGTAGCTGATCAAATAAGTCATCAATACGCGGAAGAGGATACTTATTTTTCACTGTTACCTTGTTTAACTGTCTGTAATCAATACACATCCTCATAGTCCATCCTTCTTCTTCACAAACAACAAAGGGGCACCCCAAGGTGACACACTAGGGCGAATAAACCCCTTACTCAATAAATCCTGCAACTGATCCTTCAACTCTTTCAACTCTGCTGGAGCCATACGGTAGGGAGGAATAGAAATGGGCTTAGTGCCCGGCTCCAAATCAATAGCAAAATCAATATCCCTATCGGGAGGAACACCTGGTTGAGCACGGATAAAAGAAATGACCTTGCTAGGATAAGAGCCATTAGCACCCTTCCACTCAACCCTCGGAACACCAGGCATTGCTAAAGTCACAGTCTTAGCATTACAATCAAGGACAGCATGATAAGGAGAAAGCCAATTCATACCCAAGATAACATCAAAGTCTACCATCCCCAGAATGATTAAATCTACCCAAGTGTCATACCCCGCTAGAGAAACAAGACAAGATCGATACACTCGATCCACCACTAAGGGTTCACCCACAGGTGTAGAAACACGAATAGGTACGGTCATGCTATCACATATCATATCAAATTCAGCAGCAAAATAGGTGGACACATAAGAGAATGTAGACCCTGGATCAAATAATACAGACGCAGATCGATGGCATACTGGGATGATACCTGTAATAACAGCATCAGAAGTCTCCGCTTCGGGTCTCCCCGGAAAAGCATAACAGTGGCCCCCTCGGCCACCTCCAGCCTGGGTGGTAACTCTACCCCCACTCTGCTGAGCTGTAGAACCACTACTAGAAGCTCTACCGCCTCTACCTGACTGAACTCTGCCTCGGCCTCTACCCGGTGGTACCGGTGGTCTAGCCTGAAATGAAGAATTAGGTTGGGACCCTCCACGACCCCTCTGGAAAGTACACTGTTGCATCAGGTGATCGGGATCTCCACAAGAAAAGCAAAATCTCTGTCCCGGGAACTGTTGTGCGGACCCTAAAAACCCACTATAATTGCCTCGCCCCATAGGTCGCTGCTGTGAACCGTGACCCACGCTATAAGAACCCCGAGGTATCTGACCACCCTCAGAAAAAATATGAATACAACTGAAGTTAGGGAGGAATTGTACAGATCTTTAAGGATGGCATCAGACGATAGTTTGATGAACGAAAATGAATGGGTTGATGATGATTCATACTATAGTTTGAACAATGATGTACATCTAATGGAAATTCTAGAATTTGATTTAATGTCAAATTCTGTATGTATAATTAATTAATACATTAAATATTTTTTGTAATATGACTCAATTTTAAATACACTCTCTATATTTCAAACTTAAACATTTACACTTTATGTACTATAAGAAATATACACTTACACCTCCGAAATTACATGGGTTTTGAATAAAATAAATAAAATGTTATAAAGCGGCAAAAATAGTAATATAAAATTCTAGGGACTATGAAAATTATTTTGCTTTTTACTTCATACTCTCATTCCTGATCTTATTATTTGATTTCATAGTATAAATTGAGAAGACCTGCATAAAGAACAAAGGCGCCCGATCATTTTTTATTCCCTATATTATGTCGATTTGATAAATTGTGAATCATTACTTATATTTGTTACTAAAATGACCTCCAATTAGGTAATTTTTTTAATTATTATATTTGAATAAATTTAAACTATATAATTTAATCATTTTTAAATGTAATTTATAAAATATTGAGATAACAACAACTCAAAACACATTAGACTCGGTAAATGTCGAAAGTTATAGAAATCATGCATATAGTTCATATGTGTCGAATCAAAGAGAGTCAAATATATACTATTAATTATATAAGTTTAAATTTAGGTGGGTCCATCTTTCGAAATTTCTCATACCTACGCTGCTCATCCTCTGTCAGAACAACCAATGGTGCACCTTGACCCCCAATTGCTGGTGCAAGATCATTCTCAACCATGGGATCCTTTGGTGGCTGCCCTACCGCATCATGCATAACTGGAGCTTCCTGCTGCTCTTGGGTCTGAGCCCCCTCTCTAGTCTGAGAGTCTTGTGGTGTAGTGGTCGCACCACCACCCTGAGTAAAGCTCTCAAGCACACTTAACACTCTCAATAATGTATCCTGAAGTAAAGGTGTGACTGCAGGCTCTGGAGGAACCTGGTCCTCTCTGTCATCAATCTGAGGCTCTGGAGAGGCCTCTCTAGTACGACCTCTCACTGGTGCTGCTCCACGGCCACGACCTTTGGCTAGTATCGTTCCACGAGCGCGACCTCTAGCTCGGGCTCTACCCCTACCCCTAGCTGGGGCCTCAACAACTGCCTCGGGAAGTGCCTCCCCTCTACCACCAGTAACAGTCGCTCTAGTCCTCGTCAATTTGAAAGCTTTCGATTGTGTGCGGAGAGACATGATAGAGGCAGTAAATTTGAATATTCAGATGGGGCCTACAGAATTCAATGTGGAGTTTTAGATGTTAGACATCAATACAAGCTACAATTTGCTTCTTGGAAGACCGTTTATCCACATGGCTGGGGCTGTGCCTTCTACCCTTCACCAACTAATGAAATTTGTTTGGAAGGACTAGGAATTGGTCATTTTTGGTGAAGGAAGCCATTCCAATGGGTATGCACCGATCGTTGATCATTCTCTTGAGGTTGTGATTTCTACACTGTGGAGCTGGTAAATGCCACCGGTGATGACTTGGCTCTACAGCCTCCTATGCCTGCCGTGTACAAGATGATTGCTACTGTCATGCTCCAAAATGGTTTCGAACCAGGTTTCGGATTGGGGAAGCACTTTCAACGAATTGTCGATCCTATTCAAGTTCCCGCCAGAAGAACAAAGTTTGGTTTGGGGTATGTCCCCACAGATGCTGATGAACAAGAGTGTTGATCGGATTCTTGCCAGACCAATGCCTCACTTATACCAGTCATTCCCAGTGCGGGAGCACGCCATCGACAGCGGTCTGGGAAAGGAATCTAGGGCATGTTCGAAGAGGTTGTCGCAGTCATGGAGGATGAAGCTGAGACCTCAGAAATTCGCGATGCCAAGCTAGAGGAGCAGTTGCAGAATTGGACATCCACACTGCTCCTGATTTCCCGTATAGCTTGGTAGAAAAGACATGTGTCTTTGTTTGTTTGTTTTTAAAATTGGTGGTAATCCGGAAGAGGCCCGAGACCCACTCTTTATGTAGTTTTTATTTATTTGAAGTTTTTCAATTCCCTTGTGATGCTTAAAAAGGCAAAATGGCCTTAGCCGAGGCCAAAGTTTGTTTTGGTTTTTTTTTTAAATTTAAATGAAAGCCTCTTTTATAAAAAAAATTGTTTACTTATTTGTCATGTCATGAACCGAGTGAACAAAATAAGGCAGTAATATTAATTTAAAACCTGTCAATGTCATGTCATGTCATGAACCAAGTGAACAAAATGAGGCAGGTAATGATGAGGGCGAGGAATATGAAGAAGAAAATGAGGTACCCGAACTTGTTGCCGAAGAGTTTCGAGAATCAACCCAAGCTGAATTTAGAAGAAATCGAAACTGTAAACCTTGGAGATGAGGAGTGTGTCAAAGAAGTCAGAATTAGTGTCCATCTGACTGAAGCTCAAAGAAGAGACCTAGTTCATTTGCTCAGAGAGTACATTGATGTATTCGCCTGGTCTTACAAAGACATGCCAGGGTTGAGTACGAATATGGTGTCCCATAAATTGTCGATTAATCCCTATTTCAGCCCAGTAAAACAAAAGACTCTAAAGTTCAAGCCTAAGTTGAGTTTAAAGATCAAAGAGGAGATTACCAAACATATTAAGTCTCAAGTAGTGAAGGTGACGCAATATCCAACTTGGTTAGCCAACGTTGTTCCGTTTGCCAAGAAAGACAGAAAAATTAGAATTTATGTTGACTACAAAGATCTCAACAAAGCAAGCCCGAAAGATAACTTTCCATTACCAAACATCCACATTCTCATTGATAACTGTGCTAAGCATGAGATGCAGTCATTTGTGGATTGTTATGCGGGTTACCACCAGATCCTGATGAACGAAGAAGATGCAGAAAAGACAGTTTTCATCACGCCTTGGGGTGTATATCATTATCAGGTGATGCCGTTTGGTCTCAAAAATGCCGGTGTTACTTACATGAGGGCCATGACGACCATCTTTCACGATATGATTCACAAGGAGATCGAGGTGTATGTAGACGATGTCATAATCAAGTCTCGCGAGAGTTCGGATCACTTGACTCACTTAAGGAAATTCTTTGATCGCTTGCGTCGATACAATTTGTTGTTAAATCCCGTCAAATGTGCTTTTGGAGTGCCAACTGACAAGTTGTTGGGATTTATAGTCAGCAGGAGGGGTATTGAGCTTAATCCTTCCAAGATCAAGGCGATCCAGAAATTACCTTCTCCGAAGACCAAGAAAGAGGTGATGAGTTTTCTGGGAAGTTTGAACTACATCAGTCGATTTATAGCTCAGTCCACCGTGGTATGTGAGCCAATCTTTAAGTTGTTGAAAAAAGATGTCTCGACCAAGTAGATCGGAGAATGTCAATCTCCTTTTGACGCCATCAAGAACAATTTGTCCAATCCACCGGTATTGGTCCCTTCGCGAGAAAAGAGTCTGTTATTGCTATATTTGTCAATCTCGGATAATACATTGGGATGCGTGCTTGGTCAACATGACGAAACTGGGAAAAAGGAGCGAGCCATTTATTATTTGAGCAAGAAATTCACTCCATATATGGCTCGTTACACTCTTTTGGAGAGGACATGTTGTGCTTTGACTTGGATTGCTTAGAAGTTGAGACATTATTTTTCTTCTTATACCACATACCTTATTTCCAGAATGGACCCGCTGAAGTATATTTTCCAGAAAGCAATGCCGACCGGGAAGTTAGCTAAATGGCAAATGCTTTTAAGTGAGTTTGATATTGTGTATGTGACTCAGAAGGCGATAAAAGCACAAGCCTTGGCTGATCATCTTGCGGAGAATACAGTTGATAAAGAATATGAACCGTTCAAGACTTATTTTCCCGATGAGGAAGTTTTGTTTGTGGGTAAAGATATTTCTGAAGCGTATCCTAGTTGGAGTGTATTCTTTGATGTAGCGGCGAATTACCAAGGGAAAGGTATCAGAGCGGTCTTAGTATCAGAATTCGGTCAACACTATCCTATGGCAGCTAGACTCCGATTTGATTGCACAAACAACATGGCAGAATACGAAGCTTGTATCATGGGGTTAAAGATGGCCATCGACATGAATGTTCATGAGCTTTTGGTTATTGGAGATTCAGATTTGTTGATTCATCAGGTTCAAGGAGAATGGGTTGTGAAGAATCCAAAGATCACACCGTATGTGCAGTATATACGTAAGTTGTGCAACAGATTTAACAAGATTGAATTCAGGCACACTCCTAGGACACAGAATGAGTTGGCCGATGCTCTTGCCACCATTGCCTCAATGATTAAATATCCAGATACTAGTTATATTGATTCAGTGGATGTAGAGGTAAAAGAGCAGCCTGTCCATTGTTCACACGTTGAAGCGGAACCAGACGGTTTGACTTGGTATTTTGACATCAAAAAGTACTTGGAGACCGGGACTTATCCTGAGAATGCAACATTCAACCAGAAGAAGTCGATACGCCGTATGACCCTCAATTTCTTCGCAAGTGGGGAATCCTTTATAGGAGGACTCTGGATTTAGGCCCTCTCAGATGTGTTGATGCTAGTGAAACTGCAAAGCTTCTGGAACAAATACATGCCGGAGTTTGTGGTACTCACATGAATGGACTTACTTTGGCGAGGAAAATCCTTTGAGCCAGTTATTTTTGGATGACTATAGAACATAATTGTTGCAAGTTTGTGCAGAAATGTCATAAATGTCAAGTGCATGGTGATTTGATTCGAGTCCCGCCTTACAAACTCAATGCTATGAGTTCACCTTGGCCATTTGTAGCTTGGGGCATGGATGTCATTGGTCCAATAGAGCCAGTCGCCTCTAACGGACATAGATTCATTTTGGTTGCTATTGACTACTTCACCAAGTGGGTGGAACCAACTTCATACAAATCGGTAACCAAGAAGGTTGTAGCTGATTTTGTTCGCAACAATTTGATATGTAGGTTTGGAGTGCCAGAATTCATCATTACTGATAATGGAGCGAATCTCAACAGTCATTTGATGAGAGAGATATGTGAACAATTCAAGATTACTCACCGAAACTCAACCGCTTATCGTCCCCAAATGAATGGAGCTGTAGAAGCCGCCAACAAGAACAATAAGAAGATTCTGAGGAAAATGATTAATAATCGCAGAGGTTGGTATGAGATGCTACCGTATGCTTTGTTGGGTTACCGAACGACTGTCAGAACATCAGTTGGAGCTACTCCATATTTGCTAGTATATGGAATAGAAGCAGTTATACCTGCAGAAGTTGAAATACCTTCATTGAGAGTCATCCAAGAAGCTGAATTGAGTGATATTGAATGGGTTCACAAGCGGACTGATCAGTTAACATTGATTGATGAGAAGAGAATGGTTGTTGTTTATCATGGACAACTGTATCGATAGAGAATGATTCGTGCTTTCCACAAGAAAGTAAGAGCCAGAATGTTTGAGATTGGTCGGTCAGTTGGTTCTCAAACGTATTTTCCCTTACCAGGATGAATATAAAGGGAAATTTACACCAAATTGGCAAGGACCCTACATGGTTCGTAAAGTGTTATCTGAAGGTGCCTTAGTCCTGTCGGAGATAGATGGCACCGAATGGCCGAAACCGATCAATTCAGATGATGTCAGGAGATACTATGTGTAAAGTTTCAATTTGTATTTTCAGTCATTTCCTTGTAATCGTTCTATTTGCTTGTAATCGCTTTGTTTAGAATTATATCCCTTTGTAATGAACTACGTTTGACCTGAATTCTCAAGAATGAGATACTTAGGCGGCCTATGTCGGCCTCGGTCACCCTTTTATCCATTTTAAATATTTCCTTTTGTATTTGAACTACGTTCGACCTGAATTCTCAAGAATGAGATATGTAGGCGGCCTATGTCGACTTCGGTCGATTTCTTTGTAATTCTCTTATTTTTGAAAATCCTCGAGAGGGGGAACTACGTTTGACCTGATTCCTGCCTCAATGGGATACGTAGGCGCCACAACGGCTCGATCATATTTTCCGTAAGATTTCTATTTCTCTTTACAATAGAAACTGGGAATTTTTTTTTGAGAGGGACTCAAAAATTCTCAAGAAAGAGCTCTCCAACAAAGTCGAGACTGAAGTTACTTTGAAATTTGCAACTAGGACAGAATTTTTGAGAGGATCTCAAAAATTCTGTGATTTGATCACCAACGGTTAAAGATACGCCGAGACAATTAACTGGGACAGAAATTTTAAGGACGACCTCAAAATTTCAACGGGGTTTATCGGTGGTTTAGAACAACTTTAAATACTTCCCAGCAAATAATCAGATGGACCTCGAGGCATCAACTCCAAATGGCATTCATTAAGCTTGACGTGACATAACACTCGGCAATGACCTTTCCCAAATACTACTTTTTGAAAATCTATTTCTCTTAAAACTTTTCCTCTATGTTTCAATTATTTTTGCACAAAAATGTTTTGTCTTATCTATCAAGAAGAGGGAGATCGGAGAAATCAACCGAAGATAGCAAGACAAGAAGCAGACAACCAAAGAGATCAACACAGATCAGTTCATTTTTAAACTGACAATTTTTTTTGTGGATACAGGTCTATAGGTTACCTCAAAATCAGCATATTATTCCATTCAATGAATATAGAGAAGTCAAAAGGGCGAAGAGCTCTCCAAAATTGACAATTTTTCTGTGGATACAGGACAGTTGTAGTACAAATAATTATGAATGTGAACTTATTGTTCATGAAGCTAAGTAATAGCTAATTAGTAATGTCATGTTAACAAATTTTCTTTGTTTTCAGTTTTCCCCCATCCCGTTATTATCAACTAGTCATTGAAATTATGTATATTCTACGTATACAGTGAATGATTACATTTTGCATAAGGTTGAATCATTTTTTTTATTGTGGTACTAAATTAACAAAGAAGTTTTCAAAACAACCCAAAGGAAAGAAAAACTGGGATGTCATAAGGGTATATGCAAAACTTTTATTTTGTACTATAACAACAATATAATAATGACTCATAATTACTCTAATTTTAATTATGGAACAATCAAACACAATATAAAGTACAGAACTATTTTAATATGTTCACAATGTTGTGCCCGTGCTTGCACGGGCTTATACCATCTAGTTTTGAGTAAAATTATGACTTCCCCCCCCCCCCCCCCCCCCCCCCCCCCCCCTTTACCTCCATATTCATTCTTTATAATGTTTTTATTATTTTATAGAAACTGCTATTGTTACAATTTATTGATATAAACTTTGTTCCCGATTGATTTTACAAAGAAGATTATTAATAAGTTGTTTTATATTTTAACTAAATATTAAATTAATTTTTGTTTTTTATCATTTCCACAATCAACTCTAGAAAAATTATCACTTTTTATTGATAACGGTATATTTCACAAAAACAAAAATATTATTTAAGAGATACCAAAAAAATCTCTTTTTTTTTTTGTGTATCAAAATTAAGATCTAGATTAAGGATATTACGAAAACACTCATATATCATTTAAAGACAACATAACTATCTCAATAGAGTAGAGTTGGAGTTTCTGTACATAAGTATGATCATGATTTTTTAGTTATTAAATGGTTAATCAATTAATTAGGCAATACAATGGCAACGTAATTATAAAATTTCTTGAAAACAAAATTTCAAATCATATAATTATATACTTATTATAATTAATAACATGATTAATTGATATTTCATTAATTAAATGATAAGTTATAGCTACGTTGATTAGGACATCTCACCAGAAATGTTAAAATATTGGCTTTTAGTCTTCCTTATTTTATTCCATCTAATAGATTATCATTTCAATTAGTTAACAATTTTTTATATGCAATGTATATGGGTCATCAACTTGTATTTAATTTGTGAAAAATACTGAGGTAATGCTACATCACTGTATGATGAGACATTTTGTAGTAGTCAAAAAAATTCAAAGGAAAACAAAATTTGTTGTTATCATCATTTTAAGAAAAACGAAAAAAGAAAAAAGAAAAAAAATCGCATATAGGGTTTTAATACAGCTCAAAATATCTTATATATATATATATATTTTATGTTGAAAAATATTGAAAATAGCTTAAGGCGTGTGCCGTGTCTATGACACTATATTTAAGAATATTTCATCGATTAAAATGTTTATTGACCAATTTTAAGTTGAAAATATGTTATTGACCAGTTTTAAGTTGAAAAAACTGTTTGACAGCTCAAAATTTCCTTATTAGGAAAAGCTTATTAAGGCAATATAATAAATATAATCAATGTCATAATTGATATCAAAATAATGGCTAATGAAGAAGTACTAATTATACGTAGAATAAAATAAATAATATGATTAATATTATTATTATTATTATTATTATTATTATTATTATTATTATTATTATTATTATTATTATTATTATTATTATTATTATTATTAAGATATATTAATTATTTTACTAACATTTTAATCATCTGATTTTGATAAATTGCTAATAACAAAGTATTTTCTTGTTTTCTAGTAGATGCCTCCACCGAAATTTCCTTGTTATCTTCTTTGTATGACCCTTTTTTTATTTTTTGAAAAATTGGTTTATTATTTGTTGGGTTCACTTTTATATTTTGAAAAATTGTTTTAATATATTAAAAAGGAAACATGAACGTAAAAAAATAAAAATTAAAAGAAAAAAAATAACAACGTATTATTGGTTATAAATTTTCAAATTTTACTTCTAAACATATCACTGACATATTAAAATTAAAATTAAGTAATAAGTGATGAAACATAAATATGAGTGTCCGAAATATTGGCAATTCTTTTTTTTTTCCTTTCACAAAACAGAATTCATAACTAGCACTTTCTTTTCCATATTATATTGTTCTTAGTTACTTGTCAGATTAAGAAAAAAATTGATTGAAAATCATATTTAAAGTGAATTAACATTAGACTATTTGCATGCCTAAATTAAAAGAGGATATTTACTACACTAGTTTATTTCAAAAGGAAATGATATAATTACCACAATCTTGACCCAATTATATCTACATGATCTTTTATGGAAAAGAAATAAATATGAATATTCTATTCTAGCTATAAGAAGAACTCGACATATGAATACAAAATATATGTACTTGTGAAGATGAATTCCTTGAAAGCATTAACAGTGATTTTCATGCTTTTTTTTTCTCTGGTAACTTTTTCGTCGGGAGATTTGATAGTAGATGTTTGTCAAACGTCTAGTAACTTCAAAGTTTGCGTCAACGCTCTTAGAGCGGACCCTCAGAGCCCTTCTGCTGATAAAAAAGGTTTGGTACGTATTCTACTTCAACAATGTTTAACAAAGACAAAAAGTATTTACAATGAAGTCGCAAATCTACTAGAGCAAGCAAAAGAACATGTTCTCATACAATGCCTTCAAATTTGTAAGGAAAATTATGATCTTGCGATAGACGATGCTACAACAGCAATTAAAGATTTTGATGCAAATGACTTTTTTGGGGCAAAGATTTCTGCTTCTGCTGTTATAACTGGTCCAGATACTTGTGAAGAATCATTTACTGAACCACCTATTAGAACATCCCCTATAAAATCAAAAAGTGAAGATTTGATGAATTTTGTTGATTTAACCTTGAGTTTGGTAAATCAATTCAGCAATTAATTTGTAATTGACATTCTAATTTAAATTTATAAGATGATATCATGACTACATAATGGTATGCTAAAGTTTACTTTATGAGTTGTTTGTTGATTTAACATTGAGTTTGGTAAATCAATTAAAAAATCTGTATTTTGCATTCTCGTTTAGCAACAAAAAATAAGTAAAGAAAAATTAGTACTAGTCTCATTTGCTGGAGCATTGGAGTTTTTGGGTTCGTTCGCGTTCCAGTTTTAGATACATGCAAATCACATTAAATACACACTAGATACATATAGGTGTATGTATTTGGAGTGATTCATATGTATCTGGGATACCAGATACATGGAAGAGTGGCGAGTGAGATGGGAGAGAGGCGAGGGAGGTGAACGAGATATTCTATGTATCCAGATACATGCGAATTCACTTGGATACAATGTATTTAGAACAAATTACATCTAATTTGACTCCATATATCCAAAATACATTTATCTGGAGACGGGACGTATCAGGAGGCACCAAAATCTTGTAAAATACGTAATATTACAAATTAGAGTAGATCTAAGTAATTAACTCCAAAACTATTAAGATTTATGTAAATTCCACTAATTATTTTGTTCCCCAATTTCAGATTAATTCAAGTTTCAAAGAACCCAAAATATCTAATAATCCATTCAGCCCTTACTTTAAAACCCAAAAATCAGCCTAATAATTGGCCCAAATCCACGGCCCATTCATTTATTTTGGCTTTATATTTACCTCAGTTTTCGTTTCTGCTATATTTGCTCGAAAGTTTCTGCTTGCATTTAAGCCTTACTTACTGGGCTTTCTAAGTGACTCTCATTCAGACATAAATGCATAAAAATGAACTCATTTTTAAGTTAAGCTATGTTCCTGTTGGTCATCCTAAGAGTCATTCTAACCAGATTATTTTGTGTCCGGCACATTTCGATACAATAAGTTTCTGTAACTATGTTCTTTTTTATGACTTAATGTTTCAGTCGATAATTAGTTGGACAATGGCAGCAATAAATTACTTGAACACGAAATTTAAAATTAGATTACCGGATAACAAGTAGGTTCATAGTAGTAATATTTTTGTAATCAGATAATTAGTAGGAATACAATACAAATTAATGTTGTTTAAGATAAATCTAAGTAACGTGGAATGTTTGCGGGAATCCACTGGTCACCCTTTATAAACTGCCTAACCGTAAAGTTTGATGCAATAGCTGGATTTGTAGTGACGGATGCCCATGTCACACGTCCCTTCGTGACAGCACCCGGTCCTCTGTTCTTGTACTCCAAATAATATGGCTGGCGGACAACGGATTTATTTGCCGATTCAATCCATTCAACCCATCCTTTAGGATCTATCAAGTTACCGATGTAACTTTCCATTATCACAGTTCTAGAAAATATACCCCATGGCCGACCAAAATATGTCGTGACGTTGTCCAATTTCTCCAAATCGTCGGTAGCCCTAATAGTGCAATTTTGAAGCACTATTCCACTTCCAGCGTGCTCAAACTCTCTCTTCTGGGCCGTGATTGTGTTATATTGCCTCGCCATTGGAGTACGTGCTTCAATCACGCAGTTTTGAAACAGGGCCATTGCGCCACCACATATAAAATCTATCGTTCCATAGATTTCACATTCTCGAAAGAATTGACGTTGCTCTTTCACATATAGAGTGTCTTGATACCCGTCGAAGCGACATCTGTAAAAAGACATTAAATCAGCTTCAACTCTTAAAGCCACTGCCTGATGCTTTACGGCTCCAGCATTATTCCTAAAAGTTAAATCTTGGGCTGCGAAGCCATTGCCAAGAACCCCTGCAAATTGAATAAGAAGAAACAATTATAATTCATCAAAATTAATAAAAGTATATATAGAGAGAGGGACTTACCAACGGTTGCGGTGTCATAGGTTTTGTTGCCGTCGACAAAACTTCTATTACCCGTTATAATCGTAGTATCCATCCCTTCTCCAATCAGGAATATATTAGTCTTCTTTTTATCAACTCTAATATATTCCTCATACGTGCCTTTCTTAATTTTTATGAAGAATGGCTTGACACTGTGATCAGGGGCCGCCAATATTGCTCCAGCAATTGTGTTGAAATTTCCGGTACCATCTTTAGATACAACCGCATTATAAGGTGTTTCCGTTATCGATTGGCTTTGAACACATTCAACTATAGTTGTAGCGACAAACAACGTCATTATATTCCCTGCATTAAAAAATTTTAAAAATCCGATGAGTTTATGGACAAAAATTCAGCTACAGTCTAGATATATGGAAGAAGGGATACCGCAAAACTTATCCGTGATGGCCATTGCAAAGATGATGATTAGAAAAGAAGAGAAATTATTTGAGTCACTGAACGTGAAGAGCAGGCGGCAATTCTTCTTGGTAGTGGAAGAGTTCTACTCTTTCTTAATATTGTAGTATTGTCAAAGCTTAACAAAATCTCCCTCCTTTATATTGTAGCAAAGGTATGCTTTTTCTTGCATGTTTTTATTGTAAAATGTCATTTTAAAGGCTCTTTTTTGGACAACTAAATGTCATCTTTGTTGAATTGAATTTTTCTACCAATTGTACAATTACTTACCTAGGTAATATGTAATTGTAGTAACATTTTAATTCTTAGCTTAGTTATGGTATTGCCTTCTTCTTATTATCTTTTCTTATTTGGAGGGAATTAACTTGAGACTTTTATGACATTTTCATTTGTGAAGATACAATTTTGTACTTACTTCATTTCTTTTAAAATGATGTTTTAACTTTTGTAATATTCTCAAAAGAAATGGTTTTTTAAGATATCAAGAAGATATTGCTTTTTGTTTTTTCTGCAAAGTTATTTTTTACCTAAAATGCACAATTTTTTAAAAAGAACTAGATGGAGTAGGGGAAATGGGAAGGAATTACATGTTATAAATGACAACATGAAAGCGTAAATTAAAGCATTAGTCTTTTTTTTTGTTTTCACCTTCGATGTATCCTCTTGTAATCGTTTCGTATTTAAATTTTTATATTTTGAATTCCTTAATAAAAACTTTTGTCTCCGTCACTGACGAGGACTGCTCGATGTGCCAAAAAGTCATATTAACCTTTAGGTAGCTGATCATGCATAAAAAAGTCTAAAAAAACTTCTAGTACAATTTCGTAATCTTTCTCCTTTCTCAGCCGAGTTGCTCATATGTTAAGCACCGTATGTCTTAAAGTTGTAGGTTCGAGTCATCAAAGAAGCAAAAAGATAGTAATGTGTTAATACTTATGTCCATTATACTTGTAATAACGTGACTTTCATTTCATCCTATATTATAATTGAACTCGTTGCTTTTATAACCCCTCATGTCAATACTATTTGTTAATTTCTCCATAACTTTTTATTTTTTTACAGTATCACTCTTTATATTAATAGTAAAAAAAACTCTTTACTTGCACGTTAATTTCAAACTTTGTACCCATTCGAGAATTGAGTTGTTGGATAACGCAAAAAAATAGATTAGTTGAAGAGCAAATATCCAAGCAAATACAAGTTGGAGTGAGTCACTATACGTTACTCTATCCAAAAAGTAGTGTTTTAGCAAAATAATAAGAATACATATATATTAGTAAATGTCTATCATGAACACTTCAATTTATTTTACCTATATATGGGTGAATTATTATCATCATACTTTAAAAAGGGTATGTTATATTATTGATAGTCACAATCATGTGACACAACTTTGATACAAAAGTTGGTGAAAAAGTTCATGATTTTCAAGTGAAAATGACAAACGAAATATATATATATTTTAAAGTTCTTACTAAGAAAGAATATTTAGACATGGTTAAGACCAAAGTGAACTGTGATTTGATGACGTTCAAGACATGAATCCATTATTCATTTGGGAAAAAACACTCTTATAAGTAGTGTTTTCGCTAAAAGATAAGTGTATCATTTAAATTTAACTTTTCTAAGAAAGAATATGTAGATACGGTTAAGACCTGAGTGAACGGTAATTTGATGACGTTCAAGACACGAATAACCATTATTCATTTGGGAAAAAAACTCTTTTAAATAGTGTTTTCATTAAAAGATAAGTGACATATAGATATACTACATTGATTTTGCATAAAATTTAAACTTAAGGTAATAATATATACTTTACATTTATCTACAATTCTATGTATAAAACATTGGTGCTATAGTTATTGCGCAATTCTCTTACTAGTTCATTCCTACGAAGCTTGTTTCCCATTTATCAACGTTTTCTCTTATCTATCTAATAATAATAGGTAAACTTATAATAGTAAGTGGATAACATTTTACTATATTATATAGTTTCAACTTTCAATTTTTAACTTTTATAGTCACATTTCATAGGGAAATTCTAATTAATTAGTATAACGTTGCTAAGGATTTGAAAGCTCAAATTGAACTTTGGTCATCGATAGCAGGCAAGATTTAATTAATTTGTTACTTGTTGCTTTCAATTACCTCAATTGACCCTATTGCTAGTGAAGTGTCTAAATAACACTCAATCCCAAATACTAAACAAAATATATACTAATAACATTGATATATATAAAATTACCTAATATGCATTTGTTTCTAGTCAAGAATAAAACTATTATTGGTCACATGAAAGTAAAATGTCAAAATTGGTTAAAGAAAACTATTGGTCACATGAAAATTAAAATACCAAAATTCCGGAGAAAAAAAAAGATAAAATGGTCTCTTTTCTTGTGTACTACTAAGTTTAAATAATTTTTTTAGGTATCATTTGAGCAATTTTGATCATATAAAGAGTTGTTATTCGGATAATATGAAGGTAAGAAGAATGTCTAATAGACCTTTGACTCAAGGTGAGAATAACAAAATCATTTTTAAAAATGAAAAAAAAAATGAAGTTAAAGGCCATATAGAATAAAATGGAGAAAATTGTTGTAGCAATAATCAATAAAATGATAATTAGAGCAAATTAGACAACAACGATAATAAAATTGAAGATAACAGAAAAATAATAGTAAATATATATCCTCCGTATCATATCCTCCCCCCCCCCCCCCCCTCCTTTTAATTGTCTTTTTTCTAGCTTAACTACTAATTTAGTATGGCTAGGACCACCACCAACGCCACCAACTGCATCAACTCCGTCATACAAATATAGAGGTTGTGTTTAAATATTTTCTTTAATCCTGGTAAAATACAAGTCATAGAATAATCTAAAGTGTTATTTACTAAAACAAAATAAAATAGGAGGATAAGGGTGATGGTCCTTTATTGTCGAAACATTATCATCGAGATGATGATCTTTAGGTGTACTATTCATAGTATACTAATTAAATCATAAAATTGACAATTTTATTTATTAATTTCTGACATTGTACATAATATTCTTGAGAAATAGTTAATGTAGTGATTTAATTATAGTGATTCCAACTTTAAATAGATCGATGATTACATAATTATGACATTATACATCACCGATTGATCGAAAGATGATTTTTCAGTATTAGTGATTTTTGTGTTACTAAGGTGACAGTTTTGCAATTTTTCTGTTAGAAAACTTAATTATGTTACTTGTGAAAAGACATCATAGATTGTACTAGTTGAAATAATTTGATTTATGATTGTGTTGAAATTTAAGACAAAAAAAAATATATCTAATTGATAATACTGGAAATTAATTAAAAAAGAATGTCATTTTTACTTCTCCTTTCTTAGAAAGCCAAATGAGCTGAAGAAATTGAATGAAGTAGCTTTCAAAAAAACATAGTAATTTCACTTGAATTTAGATACATAGAGAAGGAATTGAACGCAATAAAAATAGTCATTTCTTTACGAATTATTTGTCTTTTTATTTCTTTTCCCTCCATATTCATCATTCATGTTGATTATAATATTCTTATTTTCTGCTCATTATTATTTTACATGTGGTACTATTGTTCGAGTCCATTGGGTTGAAGCCCAACATATGTCTTTTGTTCTGTAAAGCCACTGTCAAGTTCATGAAAGGGGAAGCAAGTATTTAGTCAAAGGGGTCATAACAAAGCAGCAGCAGCAGCATAAGCAAATGATTGAATTATGAGTCAAAATAAGCTAAAACGTCATAAATTAGAATTTGTAACTTATGACTCATTTATAAGTCAAAATTGAAAAGTCATTCCAAACTCCAAACAGATTCTCAGCTTGAAAATAATTGACTATGAGCTGAAGTCCAAGTGTCTTATTTAACTGTTTGTGTCCATGTTTTCTTATTATTATTATGGTCATTAACAATTAATTCAATTAACTTAGATGAATCCTTCAGAGATTTTGAATAATTTTCTTCAATATTGTGTTATCCATCGGCACACCCTTGTTGGCAAATTCTTAAGAAGCCGGCCTCAAATTGAAAAAAATGGATCTAAGTTTGCGGAAAAGATTAAGAAAATCATACTAATTTGTGGTACATACTTCTATTGAAGTTGGTTATGTAATCCTATTAGAAACAAATGTTTTTTCAATGCGAATTGATGGGATATTTATACTATAGAACATTTTTTTGAATTCATTTTTCATCAAACAATTCACTGGGAAAATGCATATTGGAAAGCAGATAGAGTAGAAATTAAAGTTTCCTAATTTTTCCGCATGAAACATTGTTGAACACCCAATTTAGACTCCACGATTTAATTAATTTTAAGCCTTTTCAATTTGAAACAATTTAAAATAATTATATTTGAATTAAACATCCATCTTTTCTTTAAAATCAACTAATTTTACAAATTGGTTGACGTAATTGGTACTTTTATTTAAAAGTAATTTGTCCATAACAAAGTAATTATTTCATATTGTTAAAATAAAGAAGCTTAGAAATTAATTATAAGCATAATTTATTAGGAAAACTACATAATTGGACATACTTCACTACCATTTATATTATTATTACCTATATTTTCAAAATATTATGTATCTTAACACTAATTAAGAGTTTTCTACAGTATCTTGCTCTTACATACATGTATTTTTGCTACCAGATACACAAAAATAGGCGGAGAGGCGAGCGAGATTCGATACATACACACTAAATACATTTTCGTATGTATCTGGAATCCAGATACATGGGAGAGTGGTGAGCGATATGGGAGAGAGGCGAGGCAGGCGAGTGAGATTTGCTATGTATTTCAGATACACACGAATCCACTTGGATACAATGTATCTAGACAAATTACATCTAAATTTGAC